TGATCTCACAGTTCGTGGGTTCAAGCCGTGCATCGGGCTCTGTGCTGACAGCTAGGAGCCTGGAGCCTGCTTTGCATTCTGTGTCTCTCTCTCTCTGCTTCTTCCCTGCTCACATGTTGTCTCCTGTCTCATAAATGAATGAATGAATGAATTAATGAATGAATGAATGAATGTATTTCATAAGGTTATTGCTGCCATGGACAGGGATTTCTCTGAAGGATCTGGGAAGTCAGCTGAAAACCTTCTAGAAAGGATTCACCATTCCAGATGCCAGAAAGAATATTCATGATTCATAGGAAGAGGTTAAAATATCAACATGAACAGGATTTGGGGAGAAGTTGATTCCAACTCTCACAGATGACTTTGAAGGGGGTCAAGATCCCAGTGGAGAAGTAACTGCAGGTGGGGTGGAAACAGCCAGAGAACTAGAAGTGGATCCTCGAGATGCAGTGAATTGCTGCAACCTCATGATCAAACTTGAACAGACAAGGTGTTGATCTTCGTGGATGAGGAAAGAAAGTGGTTTCTTGGGATGGAATCTATTCATGGTGAAGAGGTTGTGACGATGGTTATGGTGGCAGCAAAAGATTTAGAACATTTCATATACTTAGTTGATAAAGCAGCAGTAGGGTTTGAGAAGATGGGCTCCAATTTGGAGGGAAGTTCACTGTGGGTAAAATGCTATGAAAGAGCATCTTCTACTACAGAGAAATTGCTCATAAAACGAAGTATCAATTAACGTGGGAAACATCACCGTTGCCTTATTTGAAGACACTGCCACAGCCACCCCACTTTCAGCAGCCACCAACATGGAGGCAAGAGCCTTTCCCAGCAAAATAACTCCCTGAAAGCTCAGAGAGCATTTTTTTTTTTTTTAGGAATAACGTTTTAAATTAAGATATATACTTGATGCTATTGCACACTTTATAGTTTAATGTAATCATAACCTCCATATACATCAGGAAACCAAAAATTCATTTGACTTGCTTTATTGCAACACTCACTTTATTGTGGCGATCTGGAACTGAACGTGCAACACGCATGCTGGTGCACGGTCTAGAAAGAGCTACACATATATGTTTTTTTTATTCTTTCAAAGTTTCCAGGAAAATTCAACGGAAGTAGTAATTGTTTCAATAAATGATCTGGAATAACTGGACAGCCATATGAAAGAAAGGAGAAGGCAGGGAGGGAAAAGGAGAAAGAAATTTCAACCCTTACTTCACACAATATATAAAAATTAACAGAAAATGGTTCATAACTGAAATAAGATCTAAAACTGTAAAACTCCTAGAAGAAAATGTAGGGAAACATATGACTGAGCATGATTTGCCTACGATTGTTTAAGCAGGTCACAAAAATAGCATGAAGTATAAAAGAAAAAAAATCAATTGGGCTTAATAAAAATTAAGAACTTTTTCTCTTGGGGCGCCTGGGTAGCTCCATCGGTTAAGCATCCAACTTCAGCTCAGGTCATGATCTCACAGTCCAGGAGTTTGAGCCCCGTGTTGGGCTCTGTGCTGACAGCTCAGAGCCTGGAGCCTGTTTCTGATTCTGTGTCTCCCTCTCTCTCTGCCCTTCCCCCATTCATGCTCTCTCTCTGTCTCAAAAATAAATAAACATTAAAAAAATTAAAAGAACTTTTTCTCTTTAAAGACACTGTTCTATTTAAGCCAAAACTTTCTAGGGATACGCCCTTGAGTCATTCTGGTGTCTTCCTTTAGCAAAGGGAGGTAAAAATAATACATTCCGTTAGGGATATTCCTTAGGGTGAAGACTAACCTATGGAAGTGAATGCCTTTAGTAAATGCATTTAGCATTTAGTCTAAAATGTAAGCTGTATTAGCTATGTACCAGCAGGCCTGAAATAAATATGCATGGAAATTTCAAAAAGACATAAAAATAAAAAGGAAGCCACATATAGAAAATAAACACAAAACATAGTTGATCAAGGACTTATGACTTGTATGTAGAATATACAAAGAACACTTAAAATTTTTTTAAGTTTATTCATTCTGAGAGAGAGAGAGAGCAAACAAACAGGGGAGGGGCGCAGAGAAGGGGAGAGAGAATCCCAAGCAGGCTCCGCACTGTCAATACAGAGCTCAACATGGGGCCTGGAGCCACAAACTGGGGCTCCAACCCACAAACCATGAGATCACGACCTAAGCCAAAGTTGAGTCCAACACTTGAAATGAGCCACCCAGGCACCCCTATAAAGAGAACTTTCCGGTCAAGAAAGCAAATAACCCATTTTTAATAGTATAGGATTTAAAGATTTATTACCCAAGAAGTTACAGAAAGATGGATAATAAACCCGTGAACGGATGTTCAACACCATTAGTCATTACAGAAATGCAAATCAGAACCACAATGAAATACCATTACACTCCCACTGGAATGGCTAAGATTAAAAAGATTAACATTACTGGGACACCTGGGTGGCTCAAGGTTAAGCATGTGACTCTTGATTTCAGCTCAGGTCATGATCTCACAGTTCATGGGTTCAAGCCCTGCACTGGGCTCCACACTGTCAGCTTGGGATTCTCTCTCTCTCCCTTTCTCTCTGCCCCCCCCCCGCCACTGCATGTGCTGGCCGAATATATAACTAAAGACTAACATGACCAAGTACTAGCAAGAATGTGAGCAATTAGAACTCTCAAAGACCTTTGGGAGTGTTCAATAGTTTAACCACCTTAGAAAAACTGTTTTGGCAGCTTTTTAAAAGTTAAATGTACACCAACCATGATCTAGTCATTCCATTCCTATGTATTTACTCCAGAGAAAATATATATCCGTACAAAGACTTATCATTGATTCCAAGTGCTTTACTTATAACACAAAACTGGGAACTCAAATGGCCATCAACAGGCGACTGGATGAATGCATCGTGGTATATCCGTGAAGGAACTAGGACTTGGCAACATGAAAGCAAACTATTGATACACACAATGTGGATAAATCTCAAAATAATTATGCTGAATGAGAGAAGCTGGGAGAAAAGAGTGCGTACTTTTTAAAATATTTATTTTTGAGAGAGAGCAAACGTCACCGGGGGAGGCACAGAGAGAAGGGGACAGAGGATCCAAAGCAGGCTCAGTGCTGACAGCAGAGAGGCCAATGTGGGGCACGAACTCACAAACCATGAGATCATGACCTGAACCAAACGAAGTCAGACGCTCAACCACTGAGCCACCAGGCACCCAAGAGTGCCTATTCTTTGATTCCATTGATAGATTTCTTAAAACGCAATCTCTTCTATCCTGGCAAAAAGCAGATCAGTGATTGCAAGGGGCAGGTGAGGGGGATGGAAAGGGAAGAAGGATTTCAAAGGGGCAAGAGTATCTTGGAGATGATGGCTCTGTTCATTATCTTGATTGCAGTGATGGTCCCAGTGTAGACATATGTCAAAAGTCAAATTCCACACTTTAAATACGTACAGTTTATTTAATTCCAACGATCTCAATAAAGCTATAAAAAGTACTTGTCCTATGACCCATTTTTCATAGGCCTATATGGAAAAGTGACAAATTAATGGCCAGATGGATACACGTTTCCTAGGCTGAGAATATTCAGTGTTTTGCTGCAGAAAAAGACATCACCAAGCATATCACTGGGGGTATAATGGTAGAGATCTATAGGTCAGGAGAATAATCCAGCACTGCTCAAATCATTATGTGGAAAACTGCACACAATACTCTCTCCTTGCGTGGGGTGTGGTCAGATGCAGAAAAGACGGAGAGCCCAGGCCATTGGCATATATATTAGTCACCCTAATAGCAATCAGCATGGTTTATTAATTTTGAAAATCGCGGAGCACCTGGGGGACTCGGTCCGTTAAATGTCCGACTTCGGCTCAGGTCATGATCTCATGGTTCGTGGGTTCGAGCCCTGCGTCGGGCTCTGTGCTGACTGCTCAGAGCCTGGAGCCTGCTTCCGATTCTGTGCCTCCCTCTCTCTCTCTGCCCCTCCCATTTGTGCACATGCTCTCTCAAAAATAAACAAACATTAAAAAAAAGTCACATACCTAGATTTGTCATTTAATTTAGGATCCTGAATTTTTACTGATGGTTCTTGTAAATCTGAAGATTCATATTTTGAAGTAACTTCCAATCATGAAAATTAAAAACAAAAATTAAGCTTTTCAAGTAAACACTTAAGAATAATACTCAAAAGCCTTAGGATACATTTAAAAAATCTGACCTTGTTGCACATCATCCGGTTTCAATTTTTCAGGTGAACTATCTCCTGTATTTGTCTGCTGTAGAAAAAAATAGTTATGGTGCCTTTGAAGTCCCTCTTTTGAAATGCTCTTGGAGCCACTTTACACATCCACAGAAAAGCATTTCCACTAAATAATGAGATACCAGGCTTTTCATTCGCTATACTTTGCTCCTAATGACTGCTGACTGCTCCAAAAAATTGATATTCACTCTTAGGCAAAGATTTGCCACTCGCAAAAACACGATCATTACGCTTCTATATAATCTCCATGTAATCAAATATAAACAAAATGGGGACCACACTGAATACCTGTACATGCCAAGAGGTGTGTTAGGATGAAAATAAAATGCATGCCTAGCATCCAGGAGGGCTATAGTATGAACCAGCTATTACCCTCATCTTATATCTGAGAAGCCTCAGACTCAGTGATGTTCATTTCCCCAAGTTCCTGTATCTAGTCAGGGAAAACCAGGTCCGACTCCAAACATTAGACTCTTTTCCCTATAATCTTTTCCCTACAATCTCAGTCTCCGTGAGAAAACGAGGCAGAGGCAGCCAAGTCACACGTTCCTCTGGAGAGCCAAGTTGCATGGAAGCAGAGAACCCATGAACATGGCAAACAAAAATAATCTAAAGGAGAGGAGTGCCCCCCCCTCAAAAGGGGGAGATCCATTGGTCAGGGAAAAAATGGACTACAAGCCAGGAGAGATGCCTTCCACCTGTCAGCATCCTGGTGGACACAGTTCAAAACTTTGTGCCCAGCATCCCATACTCACGACAGGCTCATTAGACTGATCATTTACGGGGAGAGCTGTTGGGCAGTGGTCATCTCCAGCACTCATTAACTCTGCCAGCTTAGTGGATTCTTCTGTCTGGTCTATACACATAGAGAAAAGAGCATTAAAAGTGGAAATAACCATATGCCATGGTGACCACATTCTCCCACGCTCTTCATGGGACCCCATGCTGACAGTACATCGCCATCTATTGGTAAGAGCTGGTAATCACATCCTGTCTCAAATCTCAAGTCTGAAATCTACCTGCACTTTGAGAAAGAAACAGCTTTGGGATGTGACTCCTAATAGATACAGGATCTATGCAGGGTCAGCTTTGGGGGTGGCCGGGCCTTTCCGTGCCCCCATATTCTGCCTCCAGCCACCCCTATCATATTTTCTCCTTTTTCCATTTCCATTGACCCACAAGAGAATGTATCAGACTGGGAAAGTAATATAAGATGTTAGCAACTTTTCTTTCTCTGTAGGTACAATGGAACATTTATTACTCTTATAGGACCACAGGTTTTCAGTGACCTCTTCCAAGTAAGGTTTTATTATTGTCTTTATAGGGAATTCAGAGTAAGAAATTTTATTTCCCAGTATACCTGTCTCTCTTTCATGACTGCTAGGAATGTCAGTGTCTGCTTTCTCAAATTTACCAGAAAGTTCAGAGGAGCTTCTTTTCTGGTCAGGCAACATCTGAAATGCAAGCCAAAATCCACATGACCTTTAAAAGGACTAAACTCTTTTTTTTTTTTTTTTTAATTTTTTTTTTCAACGTTTATTCATTTTTGGGACAGAGAGAGACAGAGCATGAACGGGGGAGGGGCAGAGAGAGAGGGAGACACAGAATCGGAAACAGGCTCCAGGCTCTGAGCCATCAGCCCAGAGCCCGACGCGGGGCTCGAACTCACGGACCGCGAGATCGTGACCTGGCTGAAGTCGGACGCTTAACCGACTGCGCCACCCAGGTGCCCCTAAAAGGACTAAACTCTTAAAAATTTAAGGAAAAGCTAAGGCTCAGAACACAGCAAAGCGATAAATTCGAAGTTAGTCTTTGGTTTGTCCTCTTTTGAAGGATAATGTTACTGTTTCCACCTCTCTGATCCCCTTCCCTCCAGGACTAGCCCTGGCTGACCACTTCCCTTCTTTCACTCACTCCATCCTCGTGTCTTCACAGCCTGCAGTGAGTTCCCAACTGTGGGATTTCTCCAACCCCCACTCCTTCCTCACAAGGGCCTCACGGTCTAGGAACTGCAGCTTAATCACAGGAAAACCTTAGTTCTACCCCGAAACATTTTCTTCACTTCGGGAGACATGGAAATACATACAATTCTGAAGTTTTTCTTTTTTTTTTTTTTAATGTTTATTTTAAGAGAGAGAAAATGAATGGGAGAGGCGCAGAGAGAAAGGGAGAGAGAGAATCCCAAGCAGGCTCCACACTGTCAGCGCGGAGCCCGATGTGGGGCTTGAACCCACAAACCGGGGACAGCATGACCTGAGCTGAAATCAAGAGTCAGATGCTTAACGGACTGAGCCACCCAGGAGCCCCCTGAGGTTTTTCACCGAATAAAGGCAAACCTCTAATGTTGAGGCAGAAAGGAAGGGAGGCTCAGAAGACTAATTCACCAAAGCAAAGTCATTTTGGTTTTCGACTGACCCTTAACCTGTCAGCAGGTCATAAGAAGAGTCATAAGATCTGACTCACAGAAGACTGTAAGACTCCACTCCAACCGGCAGTAAAAGGCGGAGGCCATTGTTAAAATTGGTCCCTATAGGTAATCTCACGACCCTAGGAAAATGGAAAAAACTTACTTCCCAGTGTAAATGATAAACCCAAAGCTTCACAGCCCCTCCCTATAGAGTTAGGTAATTTTAAAAACATAAAACCCTTTTCCAGAGGCAAAGCGGGGTCCCTTTTCCTCATCTTGGAGGAGGGGCCACTACTTTGTCCGTGAAGTAGCTCCTTTCTTATTTCTAGGTTTAACAAATCTTTGTCCCTTTCTCTAAATGGTTTTCTCTTGAATTCTTTCTCCCATAAAGCCAAGAACCCTCTTGGTGAGGGTCTATACACCCTCTCTGTGGGGGCCTTAGCCTATGTAGCCTCAGTGTTAGGCCAATTCATATGTAATATGTTATAGGAAGTAATTTTTCAGTAAATGATTCTCTTTCTCTCGTCCTCACCCATGAAATGGTCTTTTCATAGGGTGAGTCTTTGGGAACACTACCACAGAGCACTTAACAGTATATGAGAGGTCTTCATATGCAACTCAGTGCCAAAAGCAAATGGGCCCAAGTCTTCCCCCACCCCCCGACTTCTTAATTCAACCTCCTATCAGCCATTACCATAATATCATAGGTCTCGTCACTAATTTCTTTGCTCTGCCTATCATCTGTGATAGAGAAAATCTTTGTGATCTTTGCTGTGTGTCAACAGGAAACATCACAGTCAATGATCTGGAGGCTGTATCAGTCTAGAAGAGGTATAAACCATTTCGGCATTAGACCAGGAGATAAAATTTCAGAACTCCCTAAGAGACACGATTTCTAGCGATTCCCCTCGGTCCTCAAGGAGGGGAGAGAGAAGGAAATACTAAGAAGCCCACAGCAAGTATCCTCAGAACTTCAGGAAGAATGTGGCGAGGTGGTAATGTTATCCTAGAAGATTTTTAACTGTTCACAATAAGTGGAGTAAAAGCATTTTGAGGCACAAAGGGGTTTTGTGTCCTACATGTGCTTGTTACAGAATATTCCAAAGATCAAGCTATCTGCTTGAGCAGATGTTCACATCAAAACCCAACAAGAAAGTTAAAGACATAAAAACATGCTAAAACAGGGGCGCCTGGGTGGCTCAGTTGGTTGAGCGACCAACTTCGGCTCAGGTCATGGTTTCACAGTTTGTGAGTTCGAGCCCCGCGTCGGGCTCTGTGCTGACAGCTCAGAGCCTGAAGCCTGCTTCGGATTCTGTGTCTCCTTCTCTCTCTGCCCCTTCCCCGCTCACACTCTGTCTCTCTCTCAAAATAAAATAAAAACATTAAAAAAAATTTTTAAAAACCAGGCTAAAACATTTCCAAACGATCCAAAAGAATTAAGTTTGCCACCTGTTTGTCTTCTCCTAAAGCTTTGATAGAAGCTTGTGAGATGTTGAATTGCAAATCAAAATGGATTTCTATTTTCATCACTTCTTTGTTGCTGATATTCAAAGGCTTCTTCAGGTAAATGATAAGCATCTTCACATTTCCAGTTTCTAACAAAAAACAAAGTATACAAATGCATATCAACACACTGAAAGGTTTTAAGATTTTAGAATTGTAAACAACCGCACCGGGATATTTGTCAACTGCTCAGATTTGTCTGCAATAAGAAGTTGAAAAGAAATTGTGTTAAAGTTACTTTGAAGTCATTTTCATTAGAAGCACATTTGTGTGTTTACACATACAAATACACACAGTATGATTATGTAGTTAATCCTGCAAAGACAGGAAGTTACTTGTCTTAGCAGCCAAGCAATGGAGATGGTTTTGGCTTCTAAAATTTGATATGATTTTTTTAATTTTTAAGATTTATTTATTTTTGAGACAGAGCACAAGCAGGAAAGGGTGGTGGGATGGGGGGCGGGGGGGGGTGGGTGGTGGCAGACACAAGATCCGAAGTGGGCTCTACACTGACAGAAGCAAGCCTGATGCAGGGCTTGAACTTACAAACTGTGAGATCATGACCTGAGCCAAAGTCGGAAGCTGACTTTCCCCAACACCTTAATATGTAACTAGTCACTCTTTACCACCTCAGTGCTGCTCTTTCTGCATACGGGTCCTGTCCTTGTGCTTCAACAAAATCACCTTCTTGCACCAAAGAGGTTTTCAAGAATTCTTTCTTGGCCATCAGCTCCGAACCCCACCATCACCCCAAAACTTCATCACCTATAAATAAACCTAACCAAAGGGGTGAATCTGAAACCCTGATGAGACACTGAGCCCCTTATGTAAGCATACACCAGCTCCTGCGCCTGGATCGAGACCTCCTGTGGGCTGGGAGATGGTGATACAGGGCCCGTTCCACATCCCTGCTCCTGGGGCAGCAAGAGGCCGGGAGTCTTAAGTGGGGGTGCCCTCATCCCGAGGCATGCTGCACCACTGGCCCAGGCCTGCTGTGGCTTCTGGCAGTGCTCACCTAGTTCTCGAGGCCTACTGCAACAGAGAGAAAGGAGACAGGGAGCAGGCAGCGCTGCCTCCCAGGGCACAGTGGAGGAGGCTGAGATCATCCAGCTCCTGAACACAGCCAAGCTGAGCATCACCAAAGATAAGCCAGAAAGGGCTGAGCTAATTTAACATGACACTCACCTTGCCTAGCAGACCAATAATGGAAAGGCCATCACTTACACTTTCGATTTGATGGCCAACTTAGCATTTATATGGGGTCAGCTTGAAAATGCTGAAAAGCTTTTTAAAGCAATAATGAGTTACCTGCTTGGAAGGGACATACAATAGGAAAACAATGCAATAATTCAAATCTCTCTAAAGCTGACCAGTATCTATGCTGCTCAAGATAGCCAGCACGAGCAAATTCCCATCTATGAATTCTACATGTCAACTCTAGAGGGAAAAACTGAAAGAGGAAAGGAATTAGCAGAAGACATTTTGTCGGCAAAAGAGAAAGCCAACACCCACCTCCTCCTTGGCATGTGTTTAGACACCTATACTTGCTACCTTCTATTCTCCAAGCAGAGAACAGAAGATGTATGACATAGAACAGGTTTGAAAAAGCTTTGCAGATTTCTGAAGAAATACTAGGAGGAAGACACCCATAGACCGCCATGCTGATGAGTGCCATGGCTACCACCCTGGATGCACAGGGCCACTTCGATAGGCCTGTGTTTATGTGCAACGGGCATCAGATCCGGTGAGACAGAACATCCTGAGCTGCTCAGGAATCCATGCTGCTCAGGAATCTAGCTGCAATTCTGATGCACAGAGAAGGATACGCATAAGCAAAAGAGATCTTCCAGGAAACACTAAAGCAAGCAGAACTGAAAAGAGAGGAGGTTTCCATACAGCACCTCAGGGAAGAGTTGGCTGAGCTGTGAAGAAAAAGTAGACCTTTTAACTTAATTTTATGAAGCACTAACTCCCTTTCTATTGTAGGGAATTTTCAGCAACAGCTATTATGTCAGTCTCAGTGGCACCCAAACCATTGACTTAAATCTTTTTTCCTTGATATTCAAGTGTCATCAACTTACCTATGGTGAAGGACTAGTTGTAGACACTACCTCTTTTGTTTTTTTAAAAAGGAACAACAGGGGCGCCTGGGTGGCGCAGTCGGTTAAGCGTCCGACTTCAGCAAGGTCACGATCTCGCGGTCTGTGAGTTCGAGCCCCGCGTCAGGCTCTGGGCTGATGGCTCAGAGCCTGGAGCCTGTTTCCGATTCTGTGTCTCCCTCTCTCTCTGCCCCTCCCCCATTCATGCTCTGTCTCTCTCTGTCCCAAAAATAAATAAACGTTGAAAAAAAAAAAATTAAAAAGGAACAACAACTTTTAGCCCTGGCTGATTTTGACTTCTAAGGACAGATAAGTGATGCTTTCAGTTGTAACCTATAGTTAGGTGCTAGCTGTGCTGGTCTAACTATAGGTGGAGATGGGCCAGTTTTCCCTTGGGATGGGTGTGTGGTGATACCCCCTCCCAAGCATCTCTATCCTAACACTTGGTCTGTTGATTTGCCACCCTTTATTTTATCAAATCTGGCTGATCAGAGCTATGTGTCATGGCAAAGGGGGATTATGGGGAGTTTTCTTATTTGAAAAATAAGAAATGGTGAGTTTTCTTATTTCACGAAGCCCAGTGTGGGATCTAATGCATAATGGACCCAAAGTATTATCTTGGTTTACACCAGTGTCCAGCATGAAGTTTCAAAGTAGGAATTAGGACATTGAAAATATGGCCATTTCATTATAAATGAAAGGGACTATCTGTTTTTATATCTGGTTCTATACAACTATGAAAAAGGGGGGAAAGGAATGCTACAAACTCCTGTCAATGCTATTTGAGCACTCCATTTCCTCTGCAACCTAGGTCCCTGAACAGACTCATCTGAGGAGCTCTTAAAGACACACATGCCCAGGCTGCACCCCCAAACCTTCTGTCTCAGGGTAGGGCCTTACAAATTTAACATGCAAAATATCCGCAGTAATTCTGATATGTACTGCTAGTACCAATCTGGATCCTCGTCCTGGCCTTTTGAGTTTGGGTCTCAATATCCTCATCTGTAAAGTAGGGATGGAGATGGTAGCCATGGGAAAACATATTTAATCATCTGACCTTAAGTGAATAGACTACTGTGTTGAAAGATCTTTATCACACTGCTTCAAAAGTATATACATACAAGATAGGCAGATGGAGGTCTTTACCTTAGCAGTCCGGAAAAGAGCTCTTTGCCTAGCGGAATGGCAACTTTATAAGCACCATAAAGGAACACTGTTATTGCTGGTAAGCTTTTGGGGGTAAGGATGTGAATGGGAATGATAAACAGATATTTTTGTTTCTTGTGTACATACTGCAAGAATCCTTTCACGGTACTCTCAAAAAAAAAAAAAATCCCTGATTAAAGAAATTGAAAAAAAGAAATTGAAGATGACAAAGAAATGGGAAGACCTTCTATACTCATGGATTGGAAGAACAAATACTGTTAAAATATCCATACTATGTAAAGCAAACTACAAAGTTAACACAATCCCTATCAAAATACCAACAGCATTTTTCACAGAGCTAGAACAATGCTAAGATTTATATGGAACCACAGAAGACCCCAAACAGTCAAAGCAGCCTTGAAAAAGAAAAGCAAAGCCAGAGGCATCACAATTCCAGACTTCAAGTTGTGTTACAAAGCTGTAGTGATCAAAACAATATGGTACCAGCACAAAAAAAGACACATAGATCAATGAAACAGAATAGAAAACTCAGAAATGAGCCCACAACATGGTCAATTATGTTAATTATATGGTCAATTACATGATCAATTGATTATATTAATTGAATGGTTAATTAATCTTCAACGAAGCAGGAAATATCCAATGGGAAAAAGACACTCTTCAACAATTGGTATTGGGGAAACTGGACTGCTTTCAAAATGAATTCAAGGCCTAATGTGAAACCTGAAACCATAATAATGCTAGAAAAGAGCCCAGGCAGTAAGATCTCTGACATCAGCCATCCCAACATTTTTTTTTAGGTCTTCTGATGCAAGGGAAACAACAAAACAAAACTTTTGCACAGAGAAGAAAACAATCAACAAAATTAAAAGGCAACCTATGGAATGGGAGAAGATATTTGCAAATGAACTATCTGATCAAGGGTTAGTATCCAAAATATATAAAGAACTGATACAGCTCAGCACCCACAAAACAAATAATGCAATTAATAACTGGGCAGAAGATGTGAACAGACATTTCTCCAAAGAAGACCTACAGATGGCCAATAGACACATGAAAAGATGGTCAACATCACTCATCAGGGAAATGCAAATCAAAAGCACAATGACGTATCACCTCACACCCGTCAACATGGCTAAAATCAACACAAGAAACAAGTATTGGCAAGGATGTGGAGAAAGAGGAATTCTCTTGCACTGTTGGTGGGAATGCAAAGTGGTGCAGCCAGTATGGAAAACAGTATGGAGGTTCCTCAAAAAGTTAAAAATTGGATTATCATACGATCTAGTAATTCTACTGTGTGTTTACCCAAAGAATACAAAAACATTAATTCAAAAAGATATATGCACCTTAGGTTTGTTGCAGCATTATTTACAATAGCCAAATTATTGAAGTAGCCCAAATGTCCAAATGGCCCCCCACTCAAAAAGGGTAACTCCTGATCTCATGCCCCTCAACATTACTTACCAACCTAGAAGAAAGAAAATATAAGTGGATATGCCTACATGAACTCATCAATAATTACTATAAATCTTTGGGAGAAGGACGGCAGGTACTACCATTTTTTTTTTTAATTGTGGTATAAAACGTTTACCATGTTAACCATGCTAGTTCATAGCACTAGTATGCTAGTTCATAGCATTAAATTTATTCACATTGTCATACAATAGATTTCCAGAACTTCCTCCTTCCCACAGCGCCTGAAAACCACCATTCTACTTCCTGTCTCTATCAATTTCATTTTTCTAGATACCCTATAAAGTGGAATCATACAATATTTGTCTTTTAGTGACTGGCCTATTCATTTAGCATACTGTCCTGAAGGTTCATCCATGTTGTGGCATGTGTCAGACTTCTTCTAAAAGCTGAATAGTACTCCATCATATATATACATACACACACACTTTTCTTTATTCATCTGTAGATGGACATTTTGGTCGCTTCCACCTCTTGGCTATTGTGAATAATGCTGCAATGAACACCGGTATGCAAATAGCTCAAGTCCTGCTTTCATTTCTTCTGGATATGTACCTAGAAGTGAAATCGCTGGCTCATATGGTGATTCTATTTTTAAGGTTTTCAAAAACTGTAACTATTTTTACAATGAGAAAACCAGGCACGTAACCGAATCCTAAAATCACAGAGTGAAAGAGTCACCAACCCCATACCTCTGCATCCTGGCCCTGAACATAGTGTTCCTTCCACCACGCTATACCATTTCCCTTCCACCTCAAAGAATAGGCTGCTCTAGAATCAGAACTAAATGTGGGGTAGAATTCATCATCTTACCTATTATGCTGAAATGAATCACTGCTTCCTTCAAAATTCTTACTGAGTCCCACAGAGCACTCTTGGAAAAAAATAAGTTAAATTCATGAGCACATAATATACCTGCATATGAATGATTTCTAAGCACTTAGGTTTAAATAGGTTTCAAATGCAGTTACCTTAGTATTGTCTATATAAAAAGTTACACTCTGACTTCCGAGGTTGAAATCAATCCAAAATTTCTCTAGTTTTTCATCATTTGGTTTTCTCATCTATAATACATAATTAAGGCATAAATTGTATAGATTCCATGTTAAAGGGTCAGATGAATATTATTCCACTAAAAACAACTTCTGCTCTTCATAGAAAAAACACTACCCTAATATTATAGTATGTCTTGATGGTCTTAATCTTTTCTGCAAAATGAGAGGTAGGTCTCAACTTTATACAACTAAGCTATTTCTTCAGGGGGCGGGGGACACAACCACTATCCTTAGCTTAACATTTAAAAGATGTTTAAATGTGTCTGAGGACTCTATCCACACAAGTTTCCCACCTCCCCACCCCCCCACTCCTCCCCCTCGGTGAGAATCATGAGAAAATAGTCATATGTTGAAGCAGTAACAATCCATACTGCAGATGCACGGAAACTTCTAGAGAAGGAGGTATTATGATCAAATATAAGTGATTATTTGCTATCCAACTTAATATATCCATTAAAGTAGAGCTAAGACTTAAGTTCAAATTACCTTCATTTTAACTGATTACTACAAGAACATTTTTTTAAAAAAGCTTCTAACAGTATGACCTTTAGAGAAACAGTGTATGTGTCCTTCTCTGGCTTTCAGTTTCCACATAGGTACCTTTCTGAAGGCACGTTACCAATGCCTTTATTTCCTCTCAGCTGTTTTCTAGACCTATCAGGAAATATATAAAGAGTTTTTATTCCTTTACAATGGAAAAAACACTAGACTTACTACTCCACCACTTGCTTTTCCAAAAATGGCATTTCTTAGACATCTTTCCATCATAGGTGCTTACTTTTTAACACCTATGGAGTTGAATGGAAGTTTTAAGCTATGATGTATGTTACTGGAAGCCAGTTTAGGGCCCTGATTGAAACTGATGAAAATTTAGAAGTCAAAAAAAAAAAAAAAAAAAAAATAGAAGAACCGCCAAGCAGATGTTGGAACCTTCAGATAACCAGGGAGAAAAAGAATGGAGATAAAGGAATCAAAGAAGCTACTAAACTCAGGGAGAGAGATCCTAGGGAGGAGAAACTTGTGGTATGGTCATGCATTAAAGGCTTAGCTCCCAGAGGCCAAGAAAGGGGCTCTGAACCCAAAACAAAGAAATGGTTAATTAGGATATTTTGAAGACGAGATCCAGGAAACATCAACAGAGTCAAGGTTCAGAGATCTTTGAAGATTTTATCCCCAATGGAGGTGCTATAGGTGGATATTGTTCCTTTAGGAAGCAAAGAAGGTGGTGAAAAGAGACCTTACCCTTAGACTATAAAGTACAAGGTAGAATGATCTAGAAAAAAACAGAGTGCTCCCAATTTCTGTGGATAAAATGGGGAATATCAACTGGATGGAAAAAAGGGAATTGCCCTTTTCCCTACAATCTAGGCATGAACAATGGTACTCATTAACAGGGTAAAATAAGGCCAGATTCCTCTGATTGACTTCATGAACACAGCATCAACCCTAAAATTCCTGCATCTAGTAGTAACAGTAGGGTCCTTAAACGTATTAGTAATGCATTCCAGTTATGGTCGGATAGGATACAGGAGAAAGAAGACTTCAGAGTTGCGGCCTCTAGACGTAAACTTCCTTCTTTAAAAAGCCCTTCTGTGTGGGGAGACCAGTTTGGCCGAACTATGGGTGGGTTACATTATATACCACTCCCAGGGCCCCCAGAGGTAAACTTACCTCGTGCCCATCAGCAAAAGCAGCAATACACGGGAAGGAATAGACCCTGCAAAACACTTCACAATTAAAATGCAAAATAAAATGTGGCTGGAGCCTCAATACAACCTACAGATGTTCTATAACAAGAATTTGTAACTAGGGTGGGCAATTAAGTCGCTTAGCACAAAGTATGGACAAGGGTCTCAAGCCTGCAAACGGATACTACTATGAGTAGGTTTCCAATCTCCATCTGGCAGTCTATAAGTCAGGTTTATCGGTACTAGATCTCAGCCCAGTTGTGTGGCAAGATTCCCAATGGTAGGAGTGAATTCAGAAAATTCTCATCAAGGACTTTGTCTGTGAAATAAATTTATCTCCAGTGCCTCAAACCTTCAGGAAGTCACTTTTCATAAAATCTTCTGGCCATGTTAAAAAATGTTCCAAGTTATAAGTAAATGTGCTCAAATACTGATAGAGATAAACACATACAAATGAATCACTAGGGAGAAGGGATCTAATCTTCTGATGTTTCTATTCAATGGATAACCCATTCGTGATCAATAAGTTATGTATCCTATATTCTCTCCTGAAATAAAACAGATCCTAGATTTTTCTTTAGTATTAGACATTTTCAGAAAACTAGTCAATAAAGTAATAACACCCAGAGAAATAGCTTACCTTCTTTCATCACCAAGTCTGTCGTTTAGGTGATTGAGAAATCGTCTACTATCCTTCAAAGGAAATAATGCAAACTTTAATTAAAAAAAACCAACACAGGTCTTATTTAAATACTATTTTTGCCAGCATGAAGAAGCTAGTGTTTGCTTTGAAACTCACAGGACCCAGTAACATCTCAAGGTTTCACCAAGATTCATTATTACAGGTTAATTAAAACAATGCTTTGTGTTATAAAGAGGCAGCTTCAGACCCAAATTCTGGAAGGAACCCCCAGCCAGCAGATTTTCAGCAGAGGAATGCTTTAAGTCTCCAAAAGTTATAGGCACGGTTACATTTCATTGGGTTAAGAGAAAGAGAAATACACTTAACGAGTGACCTAGATTCGTTTCGCTAATGCACCGGGCGTCCATCTTGCTAACATCTGCCCAGCTCAAGCCAACCACAAATCCATAAACTTGTCAACTTGGAGTTTATCTGGATGTGTTACCCGCGGCCATTTTTCCTTATGAGGAGTTCTCTAGCCTATTCCTTCCTAGTTTCTCTTTCCTGATACAAGTTCAGAGAATAAGAATTATTTTTTAAAGTTCTCCCGACCCGAAGCTAGTAGAAAGGTAAATTTGTTGCCTCCAAAATACTAAAGCTGAACAGACACTGACCCAGGCTTTTGTCCCTTTTCTTAGCAAGGACTGGCTGTTGTAGTACATCCTCACACTTTATACATTTATTCAGCACTAAGTAGACAGCAGTAATGTAAGGTTGGACCTCAAAGCAGCTCAATTAAGAAGTGCATGGCTCTGTGGGGAAGAGGTTTTGAGAAACACTACCTTTGACCGATTTTCACAAAAATTCCCTGCAGAGGAGAGAATGACACAGAGGAAAAAACTAGCATCTGAATGCCCACCACATCCCCGGCACTTTTGGTTTCTCTCATTCAGTGCTCACAATTTTAAGGTGGCTTTTATTCCCATTTCACAGATAACAACCCTAAGCCTTCATAAGTCAACTACCTTACATGACGTGTGCATTTTTGTAAGCCAGGGAGGTAGTACTCGAACCCGAGGCTTATGGGCTTTCCATCTAGATCAAACGGAAAACTGGCTAGACCAACTACTGTGTATCTGGCAACAGGCTCAAAGTTAAATGTATTTTCAATAATATATTTAAGAGTTCAGATTTAATAAAATTCTAATTACATAGCAGTGTTGACTAGAAAGGCTTGGTTCAACGCTTTCATGGTTATTAAGAATTTTACTTTTTCCCCAAGGGCCTACCCCTCATTTTAAGAGTGTTTTGAAAGAAGAGGGACAATATTTTAGCTATTTTAAGATGTGGGTGAATATGCAGCCAAGCTATGAGCTATTTTTGTGCTACTCAAGGATATAACCACGGTGAGCCAGACTGCGTGGAAAGCACTGAAAATTCTTATTCCTCGAAACTGTAGAGCACCCCATGCCAATTTCTGCCTTCCCTCATCTTCCCAGCTGCTCCATGCAAGACTGAAATGCACATTTCTTTCTTCTACAGCTCTGACCACCATCTGAGGGTCGCTAAAATGGCTCCCTACTCCATGTTTTCTCTAACTGGATCCATCCCATTCGCATTGTTCTGTGTCCAGTATAAGTTACCTATAAAGCAGCCTTATCCGTATGTCCAGATTTGGCCCACAAATCTGGTGTTCACGTGGTCCTCAAATCATTTCACAGAGATGGAGAACAGGAAGCTTAAGAATGGCAACTTAATCACATTTGAAGAAAAACTCCTCCCCTGAGCCCAATGCTCAGGAAAACAGTGTGAGGATGCATTGATTAAATGGAATTCTGATGACCAAGAATCGCACCGTCTCAAATTCTCGATCCTTAATTTCTTTGAAAGCTTCAGCAATGATGTCATCTTCAAACCACTGATGGACAAGGTCCCCCCTGGATTTTTTCAAAGTCAGTCTACACAATGCTTCAGAAAGAGCAACCTGCTGGTCATAATCTAGAGATTAAAAGCATGATAGACCTAGATCATTCCGGGATGGGCACAAAGCAAAAGAAAAAACAAAAAAAGCTTCTCCAAATTAGCACTGTTGTAAGAAATTCCATCTTGGAAGACTAACATTGTATGCTATAAGCATTATAATGTAACCTGGATCATTATTTAAATTCAATATTTAAGAAACATCAGGAGGAAATCTAAATAAGCTACCATATAACAATTAAAAAAATCTTTGCATTTTATATTTTAGAAGTATTAAAATATCAAGAAGCAGCTCCTCAAACAGCCTTAAAAAATGTTACTACAAAAATAAAAGCCCAAGATAAATTGCGGTATTTCACAACTGATAAAAATATATATGTTTCAATTTCGAATAATTTTAAAAGTCACATCGCAGCTGGATGTACACAACACGAAGACATTTACAGAATGCTTGTAAAATTTGTAAAATAATATATGTTGCTTATGAATCCATAAAATAAAGGTATAAAAACCTACTTTTGAATGAAAACCAAATCTAAGTCAAGGATGATCTCTACCAATGGAGACAATGGGATCAGGGACAGGTACACAGGGGGCTTTACATGGAACTCTGATTCTACATAAAAAAGACTAAGTAAATGTAGCAAAATGAAAATCTGACTTAGATTGGTTGGTTGGTGAATAAATGAGTATTCGTGAATTATTCTTTATGGCTTTCAGCATGGTAAAACCTTTCACAATAAATTACAAATAAAATGCTAATTCTTATTTTCAGCTTGACCGAAATTTATTATCCACAGTTCCAAGATGCTCATAAAGTCCCAAGTGGCCAATATGTAATACTCTAACATTTAAAATTCTGAACACTTCTTACCACCCACAGTCAAGATTGTCCTTGCAAGGTCTTTCCTGAAACATTTAAATAAATTAACATTTTACTGAAGTGAATGAACATACATAAAACTTTACTATTTTGACATTAACATTTAAAATCGAGATGTAGATTTTTGAAATTATTTCAAATTCAGCATCAAAATTTCTGAAATGTCAAGAATACATTTTTATGGAAACGCAGTTTATATATTGACTTAAATGCACTTTTTAAAAGAAGCTAGAGTTGTTATGGATTCTGAGCTTCTATTCCTCCTTCTATAAAATGAATTCAATTGGATGATGTCTGAAGATTTACCAAATGCTAAGAGTCTGCAATTTTATAATCACCCCATCAACGTGTGAGGATATATTTCTTATATAATCTGTTTAAAAAATACAGTTGACACCTGGAAAAAATGGTACAGCAAGTACTAAATCTTTCTAATGAGTTTTTTTTTTTTAAACATTTATTTATTTTTGAGACAGAGAGAGACAGAGCATGAACGGGGGAGGGTCAGAGAGAGGGAGACACAGAATCTGAAACAGGCTCCAGGCTCTGAGCCATCAGCACAGAGCCCGACACGGGGCTCGAACTCACGGACCGTGAGATCATGACCTGAGCCGAAGTCGGACACTCAACCGACTGAGCCACCCAGGCGCCCCATCTAATGAGCTTTTGAACTACTTTTAAAAACGGACAAATGGAGAGGGGCACCTGGGTGGCTCAGTCGGTTAAGTGTCCAACTCTTGATTTCAGCTCAGGTGATAATCTCAGCTTGGGAGTTTGAGCCCCATCTCAGGCTCAGAGCTGACAGCCTGAAGCTTGGTTGTGATTCCCTGCCTCTCTCTCCTCTCTGTCTCTCAAAAATAGAGAAGCATTAAAAAACTGACAAATGTATCCCCTTTATTAGATGTAATAGGGTTAACTGGTTGAATTATAATAGACCCCCATATCATATCGTCCTTTAACAATTTCAGTTAATTAAATATCAACAAATATGATGTGGATCTTTCTTATCTGAAATAATACCTGTTTTAAATAGACTGGCCAAGAAATCTTTTAGTTCAGTTTCTCATAAACAGATCGATTAAAAAGAATATTAAAAAGAGGCCTTAAATAGGACCACTGCTTTGTGCTTGCAGACTTTATATTTGACCTGAAGTCCAGAGCATTCCAGACTTTCTAGCACATACAAACAATAAGGCGGGACCATAGGATTAGTTTGAAAACTTAGGAGAAAAGGATCAGGTCAGCTGTTCTCCAAACCTAAATATGTCGCTGAGAATAGTGATTAAACGAATGTAGTTGAATTTTTTTTTTTTTTTTTTTTTTTTTTTTTTTTTTTTAGGAAATAGTAGATACCCTGCAACCTGCATGCACTAGTTAACGGACAAACGTGATAGAGGTGGGCTCATGGTCACCGATAACCTCATTTGGGCCTACAATATGGCAAACTTGGTTGCCCTTCATCTCACCAGTCACGGCTACATGTCACAGGAATGAGGGTGTGCCGCACGAGGTCAGCGATGCTGGTTAGTAGCGGTTAGCACGGTCACGGATACAGGTTCACATTTTAGAATAGGGTACTCGTTTTGCCCTTTCCGCAGCCACACAGTACAACCTTACCCCCAAATGTCAATGTCCCAAGAACTACAGAATTGTAACAGAGTCAAAAAAATTAAGAATCCATTGATTTCATTGCTGAAAAACAATATAAATCCCACGCTTTACTGGCGTAGCTCAAAGTCGGTAGCCTTTGAGCATTTGCTCTTTACCAGATAATAGGCTCATCACTTCCAATGGTTTGCCGGATTCGACCTGTATAAAAACTGTCAGCCAAGGCTCCACTTTGCAGGTGAGCAAACAAAGGGGGCAAACCAGGATTTGAAGCCCCACAGTCTGGCTCCAGAGTCTGTACCCTGAACACGTGAGTCACTAATTCACATTCACGGTGGGGAAAAAATGGTCTATAGCCCAAGAAAGCATTTCAGCTCACAAACCTGATAAACATATTACTAAAAAAGAAAAGCCTAGCAAAGTCCAGTCCGCCTTCACTACTTAGCATAGTGCCTGATATAGGGTAGGTGCACAAAGCATTTACTGAAAAGAAGCAATAAAGTCGTCAAGTCTAAGGAGAACAAAGGTTGAGGTAGTACAATCCAGAGATTGTACAATTGTACAATGCCCTTCCGTCATTCCATCATCAAGTACAACCTCACTTACATAAGACGACATGGGCCTTCCAACAAGGGGAGTTGTTTTCTCTCTTTCCGAGGTACAGCATGCAAAATGGAGTTCAAAGTCTTCAGAGCCTGTTTGGAGTTGGAGAAAGTATTCACGGGGAAGACACAAACATGGAGAGCTGGGCACAACCTTCTCTAAGGTCTCTAGAGCAACGGTTAACAACTGATCTGTTACTCGCAACTCACCTCCTGTTGAATCAAATGACTTACAGTCTTTTCTGTCACCAGAAATCCTAAGGTAAATATGAAGGAACTCAGCATCTGAATTTTTCCTGAAATCACAATTTTAAAAGAATCAAACTGACGCTAAGACAAATAAGGAGACTCCCACACGACAGGAAGAGGTAAAGACTGGAAAAGCCGTGAGGGCAGTAAACATGTTAGGAATTAAAACAGCCTGGGCAATAAAACCTGGACAAAACGCACTGGCATTGCATAGACTCTCATTCAGCAAAACAGCAGCATCCACGAAGTGTGACTGTGTGGGATTATCCTATCTCAAGGAAAGCTACTTTTTTTGGTCCAGACTGAGGGACAAATATACAAGGGGAAGCTCCTTGTACAGAAAACAACAGTTTTCTGTTGTTGCTTACATTTGTGCATTTTTAAAAAATAGATATTTGTAACGTCTTATTCAAACAGAAGGTTTTTAATAAAATGTTGGCCTCTATGAAATAGCATAATCATAGAAATTTCAACAGCTATTTATGTCAGTGCATAGTAAAATGACTATGTGGTTATCCTTCATGCTTATTAAACTAGATTTGCGATTTCATTTATGCACATCAAGATATAAAATGATGGTGGTAGTTTACAAGCTTCTGGTAAGTGCAAAAATTTATGGTAAGGTGACAGCATTACTTTGCTAGGTTCGAATGTGCAATTTTGATGTATGTATTATCATAGGTAATATGCTCAACCCCCATATAATTCATGAAACTATAGGAACCCAAACCAGAAAATAGAAAAGAGATTCCTCTTTCATCAAAAAAAACAAAAAACAAACAAAAACAAAAACCAGGGGCGTCTGGGTGGCTCAGTTGGCTGAGCAGTTGAGCGTCCGACTTCGCTTGGCTCAGGTGGTGATCTCACAGTTTGTGGGTTCGAGCTTCGCGTCGGGCTCTGTGCTGACAGCTGAGAGCCTGAAACTGTCATAGATTCTGTCTCTGTCTCTCTCTGCCCTTCCCCAGCTCGCTCACGCACTTGCCCGCTCTCACACGTGCTCTCTCTCTCAAAAATTAAAAAAAAAAAAAAAAAAAAAAAAAAAAGCCAGATGGATACTGCTAGATGATCTTTGGGAACCAGAAATTTCGCTAATGGCTGAGCCAACAACTTGCCTGCCAGCTTAAAACTTGAGATTTCAGATGGACAGCAGGGATCCTAAAGACCTTTATGTACCAGGTTAATTAGCAAATACCAGATGTCAATCTTTTCCTTTAAATAGTAAAGAGAAACTGACAAATGCAGCGCTACAAAAAAGGAAGGAGGGGGCACTGCCATCAGGTAGCAGAAGAGGGACTTTCAAAAAAGTGCTTACTTCAGGAAACAAAAATTTAGGAAGCATCTTGTCACAAAAAACTTCAAAGCGCAGGAAAGAGAGGCCCCACCCTCAAAGAGCCAGCATAATAAATAACCTGGCCTGAGACCCAACAGTGTGAAAAGCACCTGGGGAGAGGGGACTATATGTTGAAGAGACTTACTAATCTCAGAATGTGTGGTAGAGGGGCAGGTATCTTTAGGAAATTTCTCCAAGAATAAAAATGCCGGCGGGCACCATTTCTCTCCCCACTCCCAGCTGACACAGCTGGACACGTACGGGAGCCAGCAGCGACCCTCTCAATCTTGCTAGCACCCCATGCCCCACCCCCAAAGCTCCCTTACAGACCTGCTCCATCCAACCCGCCTGCCTCAGCAGCCATCCCTACAAAGTGGGTCCTGCCCCGACACCAGGCAAGCAGCCCCGGTGGGGACCAGCACCACTCCAAAGCGTGTACTGCGCTGGGGAGAAGAGGAGATCATCTCGCACACCAGTTCGCCCCCGTTTCCAGCAGCTAAACCGTTCAGCTGGTCACGCAGAAAGAAAGCCGTGACTGCAGCAAGGACGTTGATTGCAGATACCTAGTCTGACTACCAGCCCATCCACCAATAAAAGCCCTGTGAGCCACATGGGGAGAAAGCCCAGTCATCTGATAGACCCACACAGAGAGGCTAATTGCCGACAGCTAGCCTGACTGCTGATCCTGCTGATCTAGGAGCCCAGCGGCCTTGCACAGGCCCCTTATCACGGCATGGACCAAACCCTGCCCAGTGTGCCCACGGTAGGCAAAATGGGTCGTTGCCGCTGACCGGGCTACAAGCAAACACAGCTAGACACAATAGTAACTCAGCCCATCACTCGTAGGGTTGTCTAGGAGACACCCCTGGATTGTCTGGTTCTGATGACCGAGGGACACAGCCCTACAGGGAACCACTGAACCTCTTCTACACAAAGCAAATACTTTCGTCAGGAGGAGATGTAGTGGTCTTCCCTAACACATAGAAATAGATGAAATGAGTCAGTATTCCAAATGAAAGAACAGGACAAAAATCACAACACAAGAGCTGGAAGAAACAGATAAGCACTAAAGAATTCTAAGCAATGGTCACAAAGATACTCACTGGACTTGCGAGAAGAGTGGATGAACTCAGGGAGAAGGTCAGCAAAAGACAGAAAATATAAAACAGTCAGAGATGAAGGATCCAGTGACTGGAAAAACAAAACAAGATTTAAAAAAGCCACTCGAAGGAATCAGCAGCATATTAGAGGAGACAAGAGAACAGCTCATGGATCTGGAAAACAAGGTAATGGAAAAGAGCCAAGCTGAACAGCAAAAAGTAAAAAAAAAAAAAAAAAAAAAAAAAAAAAAAAAAAAAAAAAATGAAAATAGGTAAGGGAACTCATCAAGCGTAGTAGCAGTCACATTATTGGGATCCCAGAAGGAGAGAAGAAAGGGGCAGAAAACTTATTTGAAGAAATACATGGAAAGTTCCCTAAACTGGGGAAGAAAACCGACATCCAGATCCAGGAAGCACAGGGAACTCCTAACAAGATGAACTCAAGGAGGTCTACACCAAGACACATAATAACTAAAAATAGCAAAAATAAGAATTCGGAAAGCAGTAAAGGAAAACAACTACATACAAGGGAAACCGCATGAGGCTATCAGCTTATTTTTTTTTTTTAGCAGAAACTTTGCGGGCCAGCAGGGAAAGGGATGATACATTCAAAGTGATGATAGGAAAAAAAATTTATAACCAAGAATACTCTACCTCGCAATGTTATCATTCAGAATAGAAAAGGGGTCTTCTAGACCAACAAAAGCTAAATGTGTTCATCACCCCTAAACCAGCCTTACAAGAATTACAGGGAATTATTTGAGTGGAAAAGAAAGGCTAGAACTAAAAGCAAATTACAACAGGAAAAAAGTCACAGGTAAAAACAGACCTTTTATTAAGGTAGTATATTCATCACTTATAAAGCCAGCATGGAAGTTCACACACAGAAGTAATAAAGTTTGTCATATCTCAAAAAACAGTCAAGGATATGCAAGACAAAAATATGACATCATATACATAAAACAGGGGTGGGGGAGTAAAAATTTAGTGCTTTAGAATGCATTCAAACTTAAGTGACTGTCAACTTAATAAAGACTGCTATACACACAAAATGACATAAACCTAATGGTAAACAGAAATCAAAAACCTCTAACAGATACACTTGGGTTCCTTTCTCTTTTTTATGTATGGGTAACTCTAGAGAAAGCCTTCAAACCACAAGGAAAGAAGCCAGAAGAAACAGAGCTACCAAAACAACCCGAAAACAACGAACAAAATGCCAACACATACCTCTCAAATTACGTTAAATGTAAATGGACTATTTCCATCACGGAGAAGATGGCAGAGTAACAGAACCCTAAGGCGACCTCATCCCACAGTACAACTTGATCATACTCAACAGCATAGATAATCCAGAAAACCACCCAGAGACTGGCACAACAAACACCATAAGTAAAAGGTATAGAAGAGGCCTTACTGAAGAGGGTGGGAAGAGCAAAGAGGCAGTGGGAAACAAAACAGATCACAGCCATCCACATTGGGGCGGGGGGGCAGGAAGTAGAGAGGAGAGAGAAACATACTGTCGCGCTAGGGATCCCACACCAGGAAGACAAGTCCCCATAACAACTGGCTTTGGTAGCAAAGGGGATAAATTTTGTGAGCCAGTGGGACTTAAAGCCTGGAGTTATAAAAACCAGTGGACTCTGTTCTGGGAGAGCCTGGAAGGCCCTAGAAAGCTGAGTCTCCACCCTTAAAGAGACAGTACAAACAGTCCATGGAGTTATAGCATAGAAGTAGCAGTTTGAAAAACTCCTGAGAAATAGGGGAAAGAGTAGTTTATTTATTTTGGAGCATGTCCTGGAATGGCAGGGTTTGATGAGGGTCTCTCCAGGCACAAAGGAGCTGGAAGGTACCATCTTCCTCCTCCACTCCCACCTCCCCCCCCCACAGAATAAACACACAGCTACCTGAAGGAACCAGCACAGCACCAGCATTCACTACCTAACTTGCTTACACCACACCCTGCCCCCTGCCAGGCTTGCCTCAGTCCCAATGCTGCTGGTCCCCTCCCACAAAAGATTGGCACAAACCTTGCCAACACCATGACTCCCAACCTAAATGTTTTGTGGGGCCTTGGTCCTGGTGGGGGGGGGGAGCCCAGCAGAAGCTGAAGGCACACCTTGTTAAAATTGCACACCCTGCCCACTTTGCACACTTTGTGGATCTGCCCAGGCCACCCAAGTCCCAGCAGCAGCTGCTAGTCTCATTTCATAAATAATTTGGCACACACCTGGTTAAAACTGCAGGACCCATCCTGGTGGGGTACCAAACACCGCCCACAACAAAGAGAGCCTCTGCAGATAACTGTACCGAAGGAAAAAGTAGACAGGACACAACAGCAGGCCACACACAACACATACAGTGACAATCCCTGAAGCATCAGGTTCTGGTAAACAGGGGACACTGCACTGCAAGGCAATACAGGACCTTTTCTTCACAAGGCCATTACTTTCAAGATCAGAAGACATAGCGGACTTCCCTAACACAGAGAAACAGACACAGAATTGGACAAAATGAGGGGACCAAGGAATGTTCCAAATGAAAGAACAGGAAAAACCACAGCAAGAGACGTAAGCAAAATGAATATAAATAATATGCCTGATAGAGAATTTAAAGT